GGAACCCTCCTACACTGCTGGTGGGACTGTAAATTAGTTCAACCATTGTGAAAAGCAATATGGAGGTTCCTCAAAAAGCTCAAAATAGAAATACCATTTGACCCAGGAATTCCACTCCTAGGAATTTACCCAAAGAAAACAACTTCTCAGATTCAAAAAGACATATGCACCCCTATGTTTATTGCAGCACTATTTACAATACCCAAGATATGGAAGCAACCTAAGTGTCCATCAGTAAATGAATGGATAAAGAAGATGTGGTACGTACACACAATGGAATACTCTTCAGCCTAAGAAAGAAACAAATCCTACCATTTGCAACAACCTGGATGGATCTAGAGGGTATTATGCTCAGTGCAATAAGTCAGGCAGAGAAAGACAAAAACCAAGTGATTTCCCTCATTTGTGGAGTGTAACAATGAAGCAAAACTGAAAGAACAGAAGAGCTGCAGTCTCAGACTAGTGGTTAACCAAAGGGAAGGAGTGGGGGAGGGCAGGTAGATCAGGAGGGAGAAGGGGATTGTGGGTATCGTGATTGGAGCACATGGTGTGTGTGGGTTCATGGGGAATATAGTGTAGCTAAGAGAAGATAAATAGAGACTGTGGCATCTCACTACACTGGTGGACAGTGACTGCAATGGGGCAATGGGGGAGACTCGACAATAAGGGTGAATGTAATAACCACATTGTTTTTCTTGTGAAGCCTTCATTAAGAGTGTATATCAATGATACTTTAATAAAAAAATCAGTATTAACTTAGGTATTTTTTATTTAAATGTGTTTCAATCAATTGTAGTCATTATTCTTACTGATGCTCTGATTGTCCTACCCTTGGCAAAGAAAGCTTTTTCAAGTTGCTCAAGTTCTTTACTTTTTAAAAATTGTGGTAAAAAACACACAACACAAAATTTACAATCCTAACCATCCTCAAGTATACAGTTCAGTAGTGTTGACCATATTCACATTGTTGTGTAACAGATCTCTGCAAGTTTATCTTAGTACCAGATCTCCACAAGTTTTTTATCTTGCAAAACTGAACCCTATACCCACTGAACAACTACCTGTCTCCCCTACCCTCTCCCCTTACAATCACCATTCCACTCTCTGATCCTTGAGTTTACCATAGACAACTCACCTAAATGGAATCACAGTGTTTGTCTTTTTGTTGCAGGCTTACTTCACTTAGCACAATGTCCCCAAGGCTCATCAATGTAGTAGCAGAGGGAATCTGTGATGGGATTTCCCTCCTTCTTAAGGCTGAATAAAATTCCATTGTACATACATAACCCATTTTGCACATCCATTCTCCCATAGATAGACACTTGAGTTCCCAAGTGCCAGGACTCTTGGCTTTGTGAATAATGCTGCAATGAACACAGGTGTGCAAATATGGCTCCCAAGTCCTTTTGACAGAAGCATATTAGTTTCTGTGCTCTCTGACACAACAAAATATCCCAGGTTCATCTTGTATGTTTTCTTCTAATAAATATAGAAGAAATGAGAGACTAGGAGATCACCATTTTGTAACCCTAGTGAAAAAATTGACTCAAGCAATAAACATCATAAAAGAAGCAAGTCCAGTGGCAGCCTGAACTCACAGATCAATCTGAGTGTCACTGGAGTGGGACATCATATGCCTTCTGATATGGGGCAATATAAAATTCATACTACCACTTTGAAAGGATTCTTGCCAAGAAAAAGGTGAACCTGAATCTAAGCAAGCCTTTAGAATAATTTCTAGTCTCTAGGAAAATACAAAGGCTAAAGGAAAAAGCTAAATTCTAACATGGAAATAGGGGTCACCCTACAAGATAAATGACCTGTTTTTTTTCAACAAGTCAATGTTAGGAAGAAAGAAAGAGAAAAATACATACAAAAAATGAAACCTGTATATCTAGATGGATGTCTTTAGAGGCATAGCAACCAAAGGTGACACTGGGACTGAGTCAAGCAAATCAACTGTAAAAAGGTATCTTTGATATAATTGGGGGACATTTGAGAATGGACGGCATATTAGATGATACCATCTAATTACTGCTAATTTTCTTAGATACGATAATGGCACCAGAGTGATGTAGGAAAATGTTCTATTTTTTTCTTAAGAGATGTGTATTGAAGAACATAGGAGTGACATAACAAGATGACTGTGATTGTCTTAAAAGAAAACAGATGATGATGCAAGTTTGGCAAGAATTTTTTCATAATTGTTGAGTTGGGGTGATGGACACATGGGGTACACTGTATATTCATTCTATATTTATGCATGTGTGAAAATTCTCCCAATGAGAACTTTAAGCATGTGGATGAAGCCCAGATGAGATGTTGCTTTTAGTTACCTGTAGACCGATGGATCGCTGAGGTCAAGGGTCTCACTAACATAGTCAGCAAGTATAAACGGGAACACAGGATATTGCATGAGATCATTGAAGGATCGGCCAGCATGTTTGTTTAAGTGAGTCAAATATTCAAAATTAGTAATTTGTCCAGTATACCACAAATTTGTCAGAGCAGTGATGTTGCCATATTCCAGAAGATTAGGGAGGTCGTTTGTTAGTATACTGTGGAACACATCATCACGAACCTACAAGGGAAGGAGGAAAAATAAACAACACAGATTTTATTTTTAGGCTTATTGATACTTTCCTCCAAAGAATTAGTAATATTATAGGTTTGTTACTAATCTCAAGTGCTCTAAGAAAATAGTTTTTGCCTAAAGACTAGTGAAAAACTGAGATACAAATCCAGGTCTTACTCCAAAAGTAGGGCTGTTTGCCACTACATTTTGCAGCTGGATAAATCTGTTAATAAGAAACTAAGAAAGTTTGTATAGATAGTCAGTTGTATACAGATCCTAAAAAAAATTCAATACAGTATAAAGAAGGGTCTTCATCTAAAAAAAATGCAACAAGACGCAGTAGAAAGAGCATGGTTTTCTGAATTAGACCTGGCCTGTTTTCCCACTAAAACCCTTTGTTTTCTCCATCTGTAGAGTGGGGGTAATAATATTTATTTCATGAGAATGAAATAAAATATCTTCTATATAACAGGATATTTTATTTTCACTACTGATTGAAAACTAGTATCTAAACTTGTTTTTTAGAGATTCATAAAACTTCTATTACAGAAAAAGAGCATTCTGATTTCTTCTAAAGCAATTAACTGATGATAGGTAGTGAATGGAAAAAAAAATAGATAAGCCAGGGCTTTGCTAAAAACAAATCTGAAGTACTCATCTTAAATGTGTACATGCTTCAGGCATAGGAAGAAGAGACATAGATGTGAATCATCAGAGAAGGGACTAAAAGTAAATGAGAAGAATGAGAAAATAAAGCTATGGTTATGGAACAGGCAAGATCACAGAGTGTTTAAGAACCTGAACTTAGAGGTTTGTTTCACAACATGAATATACTTAATAGTACTGAACTATATGCTATAAAAGGTTCAAGATGGTTAAATTCTATGTTATATATTTTTTACCACAATTTAGGAAAAAAAAACGGTTTCAAGGAAAATAACAAACAAAAACCCTAAACCTGTAGTCTAAGTCTGAAAGTTGCCAACTGCTGAGGCTAAGGTTGATGGAATGGAATTTAGGACTGACTGCATAACAAATTCTGCAAGAAAAAGGAAGCATTCAACAAATATTTATTGAGCCCGTAAACATCAGTAAGTTTAAGGTGCTGCAGCTATAGCACTTAAAACAAAGAGATTACATTCTACTGGGGAGACAATGCTCTTATACAGAAAAATAGGGCAAAGTAAAAGAGATCAGGGATGCATGTGGCTAGAAGTGAGAGGGGTTACTATTTATTAAGAGTCATCAGGGAAGGTCTCTGATAAGGACATTTAATCAGGGAACGTGAAAAAAGGGAGGGAGTGAATCATGAATCATGTGGATTTCTAAGAGGAAAAGCATTTCAGGTGGCATTATAGGGAGCAGTGAGAGAGAGGGCACTGAGGCTTTGTTGTGCCTGCTATATTCAAGGAAAAGAAGTCACACAGAGGGAGTAGAAACAGTAGGGGATGGAAGATAAAATCAGAGAGATAATGAGGTATCAGATTATTCAACTGCTTTGTTTGGCTACTGTAAAGACTTTGGCTTTTAACTGAGCGATGCACAAAGTGATTGCAGGGTTTTGAACAGAGGAATGGCAGGAGCTGACATAGTTCAGCTGCTGGGTTGATAACAGTCTGACAAAAGGCAGGTATGGAATCAGGGAGGCCAATTAGGAGACTATTGTAATGACTTAGATGAAAGATGATGGTAGCTTAGACCAGGACCGTAACAGTCTAAGTAAGTGGTCAGATTCTGGATGTATTCTGGGGGCAGAGTCAACAGGACTTACTGATAGAGTAGATGTGGGGATGAGAGAGTAAGAGGAGTCTAGCATAATTCCAAGGTTTTTGGCCTGGGCAATCAGAAAGACTGGAGTTGCTATATATTGAGATGGGGAAAACTGCAAAGAGATTTTGTGGGGGGATGATAAGAAGTTTGTTTTTTTATCTGTTAAGAAATAGCTGAGTGAAGCATTCAAGGGAGAGGTTTGGGTAGTGAAATAAATTTGTATGTATATATATGTATGGTGACATACATCTGGCATCTAAAGTCATGAGACTGAATGAGCAGAAACCAGACCTGAGAATGAACCCTGAGACTCTGCAAGGAAGCATATGCAAGCGAGCCTGGGAAGGAATGGCCGTGGCTGTAAAAGGAGAACTAAGGAAGGTGACAACCCAGAAACCCAGTGAGGAAGGTTTTTTCTGTGTTTAAAGAAAGAGATGACAATCAGATGTGTCAAATGCTGCTGACAGGCCAAGTAAGATCAGGACTAAGAAATACCACCACAGGCTTGCAACGTGGAGGTCACTGGAGACCCTGACCAGAGGAGGTACAGATGTAGTGGCGAGAAGAAAAGCTGATGGGAGCATTTCAGGAGAATGGGAGGGGAGAGTTGGAGGCAGCAAGCATACATAGCTTTTTCCAAGAGGATTTCTATAAAGGACCACAGACAAAAGTAGCTGAAGGGATGTGAGGTCAAGAAAGGGGTGTGAAAAATGGAATCTACTATCAAGTTTATATTACTCATTTCAAGTTGATAATGCATTCATTCATTTACTTTTTATAGATATAGTCACTTTGGAGAATCAGAATTAAATACAGTTTGAAGGACAATCATAATCCCAATACTTTCATTGGGGCTAAGAAATAACAGTTTTTATTTGATGTCAGAAGCAGTGAAAAAAGTTTAAAGAAACTGAATCTTCATGTAATCAGTATACGTACAGTTACTGGTCTGATGAACACCTCAAAAATACATATCTATTAATAAAGCCAAACTTACCTTGGTGTTTTCAAATGCTAACAGGAGTGTTCTGCCATTTGTTAAAAAGATTTCTACGGCATTATCTCTCAACTGCCACCAACGCTTGTGAACTTCTTTAATTTCTTCATATATCCAGGAAAATGATGCTGGTTCTAATTCTCCCTGAAGGCTCTAAAATAAAGGAAATAGATGATAGTATTTGCTTTACATGAGAAATAAATAATCATTTTCATTTCCAATTTTTAAAAATATCAAAATGAAATAGAATGTCTGTTTTGTGGAAAATGGCAGAGAAAATTCCTTGGAAATCTACAAAACTCCTTGGAAATCTACAAAACACTTAAAAGTGCTGGATAAAATTTAAGGAATAAAAAAAGTAGACTTTATTTTTATTTTTAATTTTTAAATAGGCTTAACTAAAAGTTTGAGATTTAAAGCAGTTTTAGGTTTGCAGAACACTGAGCAGATAGTAGTCCCCACGTATTCCCTCTGGGCACTCGCAGTTTCCCTATTAACATGTTGCATTAGTTTGGTGCAATCGATGAGCCAATAATGAACACATTATTCTTAACTAAAGTCCTTCGTTTATATTAGGGTTCTCTCTTGGTGTTCTACAGTGTTTTCCCAAAGTGCAAAATCAAGAAAAACTTTTAAAAACACATCTAAATTTTTGTAAACTCTAGTTGAATACATGAATTACATTACTCATTACTCAATGCTTTTAATAGAAAAAATAATGAAGAAAGCATCACCAAAATTTAAAAATAGTTATAATATATCTCATCAAATAAAACCTGCATCCTAGTTTCTGTTTTTTTATTATAAGTATTCCCTTTTGGAAAACTGCATTCACTTACTCTTTTGTGTTGGAACAGGAAGCTCAGAGCAAAATTCAAAACTTAGTTGCAATATCTATCTTGTCCCAGGCTGTTCATCCTATTAAAGCCTTATTTTAAACTTAAGACATGTATTGCCCTGCTCTGTGTGTGTTTCTTACTACTGTACTGGGTCTTAATTCATTTTTAGAAGTAGAGGCAGGAAATACATTACAAGTGATATAAACTGTTTTAATGAAACTGTAATATTCTCATGCTTAAAACTGAATTCTTTCTTGTTTAGCTTTAACATTCATTCATTCATTCCTTCAATTTAACACACACTAAGCATCTATGGGCAAGGTGCTCTAAGTCCTCTGCATGAAGCAAATCTGTGTAAGACAAAGGAGCATGAGATATTTGTACACACATTTAAAATGCAAGCTATCAAATGTCATACAAGAAGAAAGAACAAATACTACAAAAAGTACAGATGAAGGAAGGATTCTTCAATCTACTAAAAAGCAAGAGTATTTTAGGAGACTTTTAAAGGGGGAAAGTGTCATCTTTTGGACCCATTAAAACACTGGCTCATATATCAGCTATTAAATGCCTTGGTTGCAAAGAAGATACACCTTGAAAAGTAACATAACTACACTTTCAGTAGTTGGGAAAAATGCTATGGTAATTGATATATGAATCATGAAAGAATGTCTAGTCAACTTTTTGGGCCACATTAAATATTTTCATGATGTTTTTCACATTCTTTCTTTTACAACAAAATTTTATATTTTCATGTCTTAATTACTTTGAAGTCAAATGTGTATTTACCATTAAACCACACATAATCATATTTAGTATATCCTTAGGAATTCCTGGCTTTAGCACTTTTCTGAAACAAAAAGCATTATTTCTCCGATCACAGGATCTTAAAACAATGTTTTAATGGCATACATGCTAATTCAAATGGATAAAAAGACTATTCAAAAAATGTGAATCAAGTCTTTTATTTTAATATCAGTACTTCCAGAAGAATAAAAATATGATTCTAAAGTATGTGAATATCAGGATTACTTAAGTTATTCAATTACATAGTATTTTATTTTCTTTTTGAAGGCAAATTTACTTAATAGTAAATGGGAGTGGCAGGGAGAAGTTATTTGTTGCTATTGAGAGTAATGATGAGAAAGAATGGACCTAAATTGCAATAACAGGAGTCAGAATTTGATTCATAATGCTAACTGCTATGAGACTCAGACCATAAACCAGGGGAGATGGCATGGTCTTTTTAAAATTATCTTTAAAAAAAATTTGGAATTCCGATCCATCTACACATAGAGTGATAAGAAATGAACTAATAGTTCTACCTGTTCTGTGGCAGTACTGAATTTGTACATCTGGGAAATTTGTCTGGATTTATATAAATGCAAACTTAAGTCTCTACTCACTGAACTTTCAACTGTATCAGAAGCATTATCTTCCACAAAATACATTCCGCATTTTCCTGTAGAAAGTAATCAGATATGAGTTTAAGAATATATGTGCACTATTGCCATATATGATTAAAATCATGACCTCTAGAGTCAGGTGTCCTGAATTTACATGCCATACATTGTCAAGAAATAGTTCTTGACAATATTTTTTAATAGTATTCATGAGATCTTGGGCAAGTTACTTGATCCCTATCATAATTTCCTTATAAAAGGATTGGGGAGGGAGAGGACTCTATCTCCCAGGGTTCTTGTGGAAATTAAATTAGACCATATGTAAAATGTTTATCAATAGTGCCTGGCACTTAGTGCGAAAAAAAATGTTGGGTACTTATTATTACCAGAATTCTTCTTATATTAATAGCATATTAATTTGCTTTATTTTGTCACACACTAACTAAAGTCAAGTTGCAAACCATGGATCAGAAACCCTGGACTTCCTTTTAGAAGCACAATAGAGAATATAAATTATGAACAATCTCAAGATGGATATATTTCTTATGCACAGGTATATCTGTTAATATTGTTAATTACCAATAGTTCTTCACTTTAAAAATTGTTTTTCAGAAAGTAAGATTGTCATTTCTTCACATTCATGAATCATATGTATATAACATTAAGGCAAAATAACCTCTGTGATGTTATAGAAAGTTTGTCTTGACTTAATGGCAATGTGTTAAACAATGCTTCAAATGATCTAAGAATAAAATAAGGCAGTGTGAATTCATGTGTAAAATTTCAAAACGTGACTTACCTAATAACAATTCACCAGCTATCTCTCTAGATGGTGCAACGCTGACACATCTTCGATTCACTCTGTCAAAACATTTAAAATTACTGTAATTAAATGTTTTGACCAATTTTAGAGACCATAAGCTTTATTTCACCTAGTAAGAAATTTCAGCAAAGCAGATTATGGAGTTTCAAAAGCATGAGGTGTCTTGTCCAAACCCACATGAAAATAGTATCTCATTTTTTAACATTCAAGTAGAGGAGAAAATAACTGACAATTTTAGAAAAGGCTAATAATTCATATACCCTGTATGCAGAACACAGAGATTCAGTTATTTAAAAGAGACTTCAATATTTTATATTTTCCAGTAAATAAGCAAATATGGGTTCATACCTCTGATATTTTGAACACATAAAAGAAGCCTGTATTCTACCAAAACCATAGATTTAAAGTCAGAGAAGTTCCTCCACTCTTTGGACAAGTCACTTAACCTTGAGTCTCAATTTTTCATCTATAAAATGGGTATGATAACAATCACCACTACTGCAACAATAATGATAATATATCAATAACTAACATATACTGAGCCATTTAATACTTGACAATGCTATGATACTTTGGGTATTATTATCTTCTTCATGTAACAGATAAGGAAACAGACAGAGAGGCTAAGTAACTTACCCAAGATCAGACCATTTGTAAGTGGAGGGATGAGAATTTGAACCTTTAATTACTACACTAGGTTGACTCTTAATGTGTCACCAACAGTGCTCTCTCTTTCACAGAGCTGTTAGAAAAGTCAATTCCAAGGACATGTGTATGCAAACAAGAGCCAGAGCAGGATAATGGATATCCAATGATTCCTGCTATGAAAAATATCTTTTCCTTTTGGATTTTGGCCATTTTGCCTTGTCCTCTCTTAAGCCTGTTTAGGACCTTTCCTAAAGCCCCAGCATTATCTAAATAAACACTACAATAAACTATTAAAATATTTATCTCCTTCAACAAAAGAGAAAACATCTTATGAATGTAAATTTACCTTATAGACTCGCTTGCAGCTTTGTCTTTTACAGTAGAAGAGAAAGAAGAATGAGTTTTGTCTTCAAATAGATAAGAAAGTGGTGGCTTGACCACATCTGTTGAAGAAAAAAAAGCACATATAATCTTTATCTAATGACCACAGTTATCTGCTATATTTATATATAAATACATAAGTAAGGAAGCAAATATTACCTTCTGATTTTTGTCTATCCCTAAGAAGATACTTATTTGGAATAGTTAAGTAACATCTCTGTAAACGCCTCCTCTCTCGATTTGGTCCTTCTGTTGGATCCAACTGCCATGAAGTTGGATAATAGATAGGGTCATACCAGACTGCTCTGCAAGCAAAAACAAAAGAATGTTTGAAGTGGCAGTCTGAAGTATTGCAGTTTTAAAAAAATCATTATAGAGATTGAATAAATAGATCAAAATTGATCTACCAAATAAAAAAAATAGTTTATATAATTAGGTTAGGGAATGTGTATACACAGTATGAAAGAATAAAATAGTGTTCTCCTCTCTTGATGGAGTCTCCCAGTTCCTTGTCTGGAAGCATGCTTTACCACCAGTTTCTTGTCTCTATTAAATTTTTAAAAAGATAAATCATGACTACTCTCAATGCTTTAGCAACATGTTGGATTTAATATGACAAACTAAAAAAAAACATTTTCCAAATTAAGTTTTTACATTTCTCATTTTGCCTACTATCTAATGTAACAAAATTAGTTCATTTTTGAAACATAAATTATATTAATATATTTAAAAGTGAATATTTTATTTTATTTTATTATTTGGGGGGGCAAGGAAAGTGACTTTATTCTGAAAGCCAGCAGATTGAGAAGATGGGATACTCATGTCCTAAAGAACCATTTTAAAAGTAAATATTTAAATGAAAGAAAATAGGACCATATAAAAATATTTTTATAAACAGATAAGATTAAAAAAATCACCCTTAATCCTATTACCCTAATCATACCAAAATACTGGTAGTGGTTATTTTCTTTCATATTCTAAAATTGCAGTTAAAATTATTATGTATCTACGTTTCTATAGCCTTCCTTCTTTCACTGATTAAAATCTTTATTATCACCATTTAAGATGGTTGATACTGCAATGAGTGTCTGCTTCATGATGTAGTTGCTATGCATTACTATTATTATATATTTAAGTTGCTTCCAATTCATTCATTAGCATAAATAATGCAGAGATGAACACCTTTTCTTTATTGTATTTCTATATTTTGAGTGTTTCCCTTAGGACACAATCACTAAAATAGGGTATCGGGAGCTAGGAGTAAAACGTTTGTATTGATATATATTGTCAAAGTGTACAATGCCAGCAAAGCTCTGACCAAGGACTAGGATACATTTCTTCCTGCTGTGGATATTAGCACCTAAAATTTTTTTTTTGTAACATGAAGGGTAGAATATGGTATCTGAAGGTTTCAAAAAACTAGATTAGTCTGTAGCCATACTGAATATTTCCCCATCTACTATTAATTCTGTTTGTCTTATGTGAAGAGCATATTCATGTCTTTGCTCAAATTTTGGATTCTTACGTTTTACACTTTTAACTCTGCATCAGTTTTTAAAAGAATAAAAATATTAACTCTTTGATATATTTACTGAAAATAACTTCTCATGTTTTACTGTTTTTCTTCTTTGTAGTGTCTTCTACTGCACTTGAGATTAGAAAGTTATGCATCCAACAGAGTTGATAAATACCTTACTTTCTTCTACTTCATAAACTTTTTGAATTTAATTTTTTGTTCACTTGGAATTTGCTTTAGTGAATAATGTTCAGTGAATTTTAGCACCCGAAGCAATAATAATCAGTTTTCTTAGCCAAATTTAGAGAACAATGATTTAATATTCCTTTTTTATTTATTATTATTATTTTTATTTTGGTATCATTAACCTACAATTACAAGAGGAACATTATGCTTACAAAGGGTAGGATTGTTTTCTTCTTTCTTATGGCTGAATAATATTCCACGGTGTATATGTACCACATCTTCTTTACCCATCATCAAGTCCCCCCGACAAACCCATTACAGTCAGTGTTCATCAGCGTAGTAAGATGCTGTGGAATCACTACTTGTCTTCTCTGTGTTGCACAGCCCTCCCTGTGCTCCACCCAACATTACACATGCTAATCATAATGTCCCCTTTCTTTTCCACCCCCCTAATCCCTCCCTTCCCACCCATCCTCCCGAGTTCCTTTCCCTTTGGTAACTGTTAGTCCATTCTTGGGTTTGGTGTTTCTGCTGCTGTTTTGTTCCTTCAGTTTTTTCTTTGTTCTTATACATATGAGTGAAATCATTTGGTACTTGTCTTTCTCCGCCTGGCTTATTTCACTGAGCATAATACCCTCTAGTTCTATCCATGCTGTTGCAAATGGTAGGATTTGTTTTCTTCTTTCTAATGGCTGAATAATATTCCACTATGTATATGTACCACATCTTCTTTATCCATTCATCTACTGACAGACACTTAGGTTGCTTCCATTTCTTGGCTATTGTAAATAGTGCTGCAATAAACACAGGGGTGCATCTGTCTTCTTCAAACTGGGCTGCTGCATTCTTAGGGTAAATTCCTTGAAGTGGAATTCGTGGGTCAAATGGTATTTCTATTTTGAGCTTTTTGAGGAACCTCTATACTGCTTTCCACAATGGTTGAACTAATTTACATTCTTGCCAGCAGTGTAGGAGGGCTCCCCTTTCTCCACAACTTCACCAACATTTGTTGCTGGTTGTCTTTTGGATGGTGGCGATCCTTACTGGTGTGAGGTGATATCTCATTGTGGTTTTAATTTGCATTTCTCTGATGATTAGCGATGTGGAGCATCTTTTCATGTGCCTGTTGTCCATCTGAATTTCTTCCTTGGGGAAGTGTCTGTTTTGATGCTCTGCCCATTTTTTCATTTTTTAATTGGGATACTTGCTTTTTGTTTATCAAAGTGCATGAGGTCTTTATATATATTTTGGATGTCAACCCTTTATCAGATCTGTCATTTATGAATATATTCTCCCATACTTTAGAATGCCTTTCTTCTATCGGTAGTGACCTTTCCTGTACAGAAGCTTTTCAGCTTGATATAGTCCCACTTGTTCATTTTTGCTTTTGTTTCCCTTGCCTGGGGAGATATGTTCATGAAGAAGTCACTCATGTTTATGTCCAAGAGATTTTTGCCTATGTTTTTTTCTAAAACTTTTATGGTTTCATGATTTACATTCAGGTCTTTGATCCATTTCTAATTTACTTTTGTGTATGGGGTCAGACAAAGATCCAGTTTCATTCTCTTACATGTAGCTGTCCAGATTTGCCAACAACAGCTATTGAAGAGGATGTCATTTCCCCACTGTATATCTATGGCTCATTATTCATACATTAATTGACCATATATGTTTGGGTTAATGTCTGGAGTCTCTATTCTATTCCACTGATTTGGGCTCTGTTCTTGTGCCAGTACCAAATTGTCTGATTACTGTGGCTTTGTAGTAGAGCTTGAAGTTGGGGAGCAAGATCCCCCCACCTTATTCTTCCTTCTCAGGATTGCTTTGGCTATTCAGGGTCTTTTGTGGTTCCATAAGAATTTTAGAACATTTTGTTGCAGTTCGTTGAAGAATGCTGTTGGTATTTTGATAGGCATTGCATTGAATCTGTAGATTGCTTTAGGCAGGATGGCCATTTTGACAATATTAATTCTTCCTAGCCAAGAGCATGGGATGAGTTTCCATTTGTTAGTGTCCTCTTTAATTTCTCTTAAGAGTGTCTTATAGTTCTCAGGGTATAGATCTTTCACTTCCTTGGTAAGGTTTATTCCTAAGTATTTTATTCTTTTTGATGCAATTGTGAATGGAATTGTTTTTCTGATTTCTCTTTCTATTAGTTCATTATTAGTGTATAAGAAAGCCACAGATTTCTGTGTGTTAATTTTGTATCCTGCAACTTTGCTGTATTCCGATATCAGTTCTAGTTGTTTTGGAGTGGAGTCTTTAGGGTTTTCTATGTACAATATTACGTCATCTGCAAATAGTGACAGTTTAACTTATTCTTCACCAATCTGGATTCCTTGTATTTCTTTGTTTTGTGTAATTGCTGTGGCTAGGACCTCCAGTACTATGTTGAATAACAGTGGGGATAGTGGGCATCCCTGTCTTGTTCCCGATCTCAGAACAAAAGCTTTCAGCTTCTCACTGTTAAGTATGATGTTGGCTGTGGGTTTATCAAAGATGACCTTTATTATGTTGAGGTACCTGCCCTCTATACCCATTTTGCTGAGAGTTTTTATCATGAATGGATGTTGAATTTTGTTGAATGCTTTTTCAGCATCTATGGAGATGATCATGTGGTTTTTTCCTTCTTTTTGTTTATGTGGTGGATGATGTTGATGGATTTTTGGATGTTGTACCATTCTTGCATTCCTGGGATGAATCCCACTTGGTCATGGTGTATGATCCTTTTGATGTATTTTTGAATTTGATTTGAATTTGAATATTTTGTTGAGTATATTTGCATCTACATTCATCAGGGATATTGGTCTGTAATTTTCTTTTTGGTGGGGTCTTTGCCTGGTTTTGGTATTAGGGTGATGTTGGCTTCATAGAATGAGTTTGGGAGTATTCACTCCTCTTCTATTTTTTGGAACACTTTAAGGAGTATGGGAATTATATCTTCTCTGTATGTCTGATAAAATTCCGAGGTAAATCCATCTGGCCCATCTGGGGGTTTTATTCTTGGGTAGTTTTTTGATTACCACTTCAATTTCTTTGCTGATAATTGGTTTGTTTAGATTTTGTGCTTCTTCCTTGCTCAGTCTTGGAAGGTTGTATTCTTCTAGGAAGCTGTCCATTTCTTCTAAGTTTTCCAACTTCTTAGCATATAGGTTTTCATAGTAGTCTCTAATAATTCTTTGTATTTCTGTGGGGTCCGTCATGATTCATGATTTTTCATTTCTTGTTTCTGATTCTGTTGATGTGAGTAGATTCTCTTTTTCTCTTAATAAGTTTGACTAGGGGTTTATCTATTTTGTTTATTTTCTCAAACAACCAGCTCTTGGTTTCATTGATTTCTCTCTGTTGTTTCATTCTTCTCAATTTTATTTATTTCTTCTATGGTCTTTATTATGTCCCTCCTTCTGCTGACTTTGGACCTCATTTGTTCTTCTTTTTCTGATTTCGATAATTGTGACTTTAGACTATTCTTATGGGATTGTTCTTCCTTCTTTAAATAGGCCTGGATTGCCATACACTTTCCTCTTAGAACTGCTTTCACTGCATCCCACAGAAGTTGGGCCTTTGTACTGTTGTTGTCATTTGTCTCCATATATTGCTTGCTCTCTCTTTTAATTTGGTCATTGATCCACTGATTATTTAGTAGCATGTTGTTAAGCCTCCATGTGTTTGTGAGCCTTTTTGCTTTCTTTGTACTATTTATTTCCAGTTTTATACCTTTGTGGTCTGAGAAGTTGGTTGGTAGGAATTCAATCTTTTTGAATTTACTGAGGCTTTTTGTGGCCTACTATGTGGTCTATTCTGGAAAACGTTCCATGTGCACTTGAGGAGAATGTGTATTCTGCTACTTTTGGTTGTAGAGTTCTGTAGATGTCTAGTAGGTCCATCTGTTCTAGTGTGTTGTTCAGTGCCTCTGTGTCCTTACTTATTTTCTGTCTGGTGGATCTGTCCTTTGGGGTGAGTGGTGTGTTGAAGTCTCCCAAAATGAATGCATTGCATTCTATTTCCTCCTTTAATTCTGTTAGTATTTGTTTCACATATACTGGTGCTCCTGTATTGGGTGCATATATGTTTATAATGGTTATATCCTCTTGTTGGACTGAGCCCTTTATCATTATGTAGTGTCCTTCTTTATCTCGTTACTTTCTTTGTTCTGAAGTCTATTTTGTCTGATACTAGTACTGCAACACCTGCTTTTTTCTCCCTATTCTTTGGATGAAATATCTTTTTCCATGCCTTCACTTTCAGTCTGTGTCTGTCTTTGCATTTGAGGTGAGTTTCATATAAGCAGCATGTAGATGGGTCTTGCTTTTTTATCCATTCTATTACTCTGTGTCTTTTGATTGGTGCATTCAGTCCATTTACATTTAGGGTGATTATTGAAAGATATGTACTTATTGCCATTGCAGGCTTTAGATTCGTGGTTACCAAACGTTCAAGGGTAGCTTCTGTACTATCTAACTGTCTAACTTAACTCACTTATTAAGCTATTATAAACACAGTGTGATGATTCTTTATTTCTCTCCCTTCTTATTCTTCCTTGTCCATTCTTTGTATGTTAGGTGTTTTATTCTGTGCTCTTTTGTGTTCCTTTGACTGCTTTTGTGAGCAGTTGATATTTTTTGCCTTTAGTTAGTATTTGGTTGGTCTGTTTTCTTTGTTGTGATTTTATTTTCTCTGGTGACATCTATTTAGCCTTAGGAGTGCTTCCATCTAGAGCAGTCCCTTTACAATATCCTGTAGAGGTGGTTTGTGGGAGGCAAAATTCCCTCAACCTTTCCTTGTCTGGGAATTGTTTAATCCCACCTTTAACTTTAAATGATAATCATGCTGGATCCAGTATTCTTGGTTCAAGGCCCTTCTGTTTCATTGTATTAAATGTATCATGCCATTCTCTTCTGGCCTGTAAGGTTTCTGTTGAGAAGTCTGATTATAGCCTGATGGGGTTTCCTTTGTAGGTGATCTTTTTTCTCTCACTGTCTGCCTTTAATATGCTGTCCTTGTCCTTGATCTTTGCCATTTTAATTATTATGTGTCTTGGTGTTGTCCTCCTTGGGTCCCTTGTGTTGGGAGGGCTGTGGGCTTCCACAGTCTGAGAGACTATTTCCTCCCCCAGTTTGGGGAAGTCGTCAGCAATTATTTCTTCAAAGACACTTTCTCTCCCTTTTTCTCTCCTTTTATTCTGGTACCCCTATCATGTGAATACTGTTGTGATTGGATTGGTCACACAGTTCTCTTAGTATTCTTTCATTCCTTGAGATCCTTTTATCTCTCTGCCTCAGCATCTCTATGTTCCTGTTCTCTGATTTCTATTCCATTAATGGCCTCTTGCACCTCATCCAGTCTGCTCTTAAGTCCTTCCAGAGATTGTTTTATTTCTGTATTCCCCCTCCTAACTTGATCCTTTAGCTCTTGCATATTTCTCTGAAGGTCCATCAGCATGGTTATGGCCTTTATTTTGAATTCTTTTTCAGGAAGATTGGTTAAATCTATCTCCCCAGGCTCCCTCTCAGGGGTTGTCTGCGTGATTCTGGACTGGATCAGATTCTTACACCTTTTCATGGCTATAGAGGTAGTCGTGGGCAGTTGGTGCATGTGCTAGCTGGGAGAACAAAGTCCCTTCCTGGTTGCTGGTCACCTTGCTCTTCTCAGAAAAGCTTCTGGTTTTATTTCCTGATCCACCGTGGGCAGGGAAGTCGTCGTGGCAGCCCAGAGCCCTGCGGGTTGGGGCAGGCACGCCGGGTGTGCTCTCCTTTGAGGATGACCCTTGGTGCCCTGTCTCAGCTTCCTCTGTCTGTGCACGCCAGCAGGGCCTCTGAGTCTGGCCCAGGTGGCTGCTGAGGAGGCTCTGGGTGGTTGTTATGGCTGCGGCTGCTCCCCTGCTATGGCGGGGCCATGCTGGACAGGGACTGGTGGGAGGCTGTTTATTGCCATGAGGGGTTTCAGAGTAGCGCTGCCTCCCAGGGGGCTTGAGTGCCTGAATTTCCCCAGGATTCTCAGCTACTGGGCTGTGTGTGCCAGGACACTTCCGTCCAGCTGTGGGGCCCCTGTCCCTTTAAGACTTTCAAAAAGCACTCACTTTTCTTTTGTTCCAGGGGTGCCGAATGTGGGGACCCACTAGCAGATTTTACTGTTCCGTTTCCCTAATATCTGCACACCATGCAATGTGTGTCGGTGCTCCCAGTAAGGATGACTAGGGCTGGGTATTCAGCAGTCCTGGGCTTCCACTCCCTCCCCGCTCCGACTCCTTTCCTCCTGCTGGGGAGCTGGGGTCGGGGGTGCCGCTTGGATCCCACCAGGCCACGACTTGTATCTTACCCCCTTTGTGCGACACTGAGTTCTCACTGATGTAGATGTAGCCTGGCTCTTGTACTGTATCTTCTGGTCTCTCTTTTAGAAATAGTTGTCTTGTTGTATTTTAAAAAATATATATGGTTTTCGGAGGAGATTTCCGCTGCCCTACTCACCCTGCCGTCTTGGCTCCTCCTCTAACAGTCCTCTTTTCATTGTGATATATATTTTAAATTATATTAATGTCTTAGCCAGGAAAAGATCTCTTTCCCAACTGTCCTGTTTTCCAATTATTTCTCTATGCTTCTTCAAAGATCGTATTTTAAAATTAAAGTCAATATACAGACTTTACTATCTGGAAGAGCTAGTGGCTTTCTTACTACCTTTCCTCCCTACCAAAAATTAAGAAAAAAATTCTCATAGGATTATTTTTCCAGATGAAACAAATCACAAATAATTAAACAAAAAAATATTTAAGGTAATGAGATAATGTTGTGAAATTTTTATTGTGGAATGAACATATTTTAACATCAGTATATAAAATATTCACACAAGACAACCCACTTTGCTCACCTGTCATGCGTCAGTTGTTGAATGAGTTCCTGCCAATATCTGCTAGCACTCAAATCTACTTTATACATGCCTCTGATATGCTGGATCACCTTTTTTCTCTCCATTCCTTGGGAGAGAGACACTGCCTGGGTGATATCTGCAGCTATTTTAGATATATCCTTTGCTTTTGAATTGAGGCGCTGAAATAGACTAAACAAACAATAAGATTATCCAGATGTTGAGCATTTGTGAAACATTAAATGTGTATTAAAACATGATACTTTAAAACTAAAAGTCTATGTGAAATCTAAGGGGTTCCTAAAACATGACTTTTAGAACACATAAAATCCTACCTTTGTTGATTATTATTAACTGTTTTCTGCCAGGTAGCTTTATTCATACCTTCTTCAGCTTCATATTTCTTTTGTTCCTAAAAGATTTAGATAATATCCTATATAAAACTTTTTATTTATCATTTAACATTGGCACCAAGCCCAACAAAATTATTTTAAAACCAAGTTAACAAAGGAAAAAATATTGTCCAAAGGAGACCAGAATATTAGAATACATTAATATTTTAAACTGTTATAATTCCCCTTTGCTTCCACAAAATTTGGGTGACAGAAGTTGGGGGAGAATAGTTAATCAGGTTGCCAAATCTAATGGGTTTGCATAGTTGCTTGCTTCCTTACTTTGCTCTTTCATTAGAGAATCTATAACTCAAGGTTGATGTTTCAACTTATGACTAAAAATCTTTCCTTCACTGAGAGCTACTGATAATGAATAAGGATGACAAGAGAGAAAAAAATTCTCCTTAAAATAAGCTTATATATGTTCTCTCATAGTAAAAAAGCGATATAAAGAAAAAAACAATTATTTCAAATTTATCATCAATGATACACTGTAACTTTAAAAAATCTTTCAATCATTCCTTAACTATATTTAATGGGGTCTCCTAAGAAGACTGTGTCTTATGGTTTCACTGACTCACCTCTTTGATCATTTTAATAAGGTCTGATTTTGTTGATGCACTGAGAGGGATGCACTTATACCCACATAATTTTAAAGCATTCATAAGCAGTTCTGCTGTGTTTAGTTCTTCTTCAGTCAATTCATCCTGGTGATTATGTATCAACTCTGATAAATACAAAACTAACTTGGCTCCATGCTTCAAAAAAAAGTAAAATTGTTTTTAGTCATGAAGAATTTTTATTCTTACATTAAGTTATTTAACAGTAATTAAATTAAATTATATTGCTAGATTTAATTCATTGAATCTGGTTTGAATAAATCAGCTAAAAAAGACACTTTGGGGACAACTGAAGAAATCTGATTATGCATTGGATGTATGATGACATGAGGGTGTTTACTAATTTTGTTAGATATAATACATTATGGTTACATAAGACAATGACTTTGAAAAATGTCATGGTATTTCTATAATTTAAAATACTTCAGAAAAAGAAGAAATGATGTCAATATGATAAAAATATTAACAAATGTTAAATTTTAGTGGTGGTTATATGGTATTATACTATTCTATTTTCTTAAGTATATTTGAAAATTTTCATTGTAAAAGAGAGAAAGAAAGGAAAAGAAAAGGATGGAAGGAAGGATGGAAATAAAAGAAGGAAAACGAAGAGAAAAGTAAGCAAGCTTTTGGGGAAAGAATTGGGAGAGGATTTGCTAAAGGAATACAGAAAATATGCTTGGGATAAAGGAAAGTAATTCTTAGCTTTTCTCATAGAAAAACTGAACTGGAAGGGAAACTTCCTATAAACTGTAAGGTAAGAGAATTATCCTTATTCTTTCTCCTTTGAAATCTGCTTGGAATAGAAGTGAAAATTTCAGAACAAAAACCTACCTCTAAATTAGTTTGTAAATATTCATGACTCCCTAGGGAGAACAAAAGGTGAAAAACTCTAAAAGCAGTGGGACCTCAGCACTCAGTTCCCAGAGAAGGGTTGGTTTAGGCCAGTCTTTTATGAACACTCTAAAATTACAGTGTTACTGAAGGTAACTCAGAGTGTAAACCTGAACCAAACTTTGAGTCATGACTTTTTAAGTGGTCCTTCTGTACTATTTCTCTTACACCTGATTGTTATGTGTATATTATTATTTAGACATTAATTTTGCCAAGTTAAAGGATAATTTTGCTTTTTAAATATTTGCTTTCATACAAATTTGCACTGCATTTTGGCTTTATGACATTTTAAAATGTGAATTGTATTAAATGTCAAAAAATGGATTTTAGAAAGCATTACATTTTGGGTTATTTAAATTAACATGCTGAATCACATCTTGTCATTTCCCAAAAGCATAAGATTAACATATGAGATGATGAAAATAGCAAAGCGCATTTTAATGCCACATTTCAAATTAGTCAGTAGACAGCTGCTACCAGACCAAAAGAGAAAAATGAGCAGACTCTGTACGAGTAAAAGGCTTGATAAGTTGGTAAATAAACAGAAATGGTAAATAACTAGAATATTTTCATGTAAGTGTCTTAAAGGTAATCTTCTTGATATAACTCTAAAAATATTTCAATTTAGTATTTAATGACTTTCTAAAACCACCTTGAAAAACTATGAGAAATGTTTTTATTCATTCTGAATATCCAATGAAACACATGATTTTCTTAGATACTGAAGCTGTTTCTCATATATCACTTTAACATAGTCTGATCAATCATTTATTGGTTGGAATTCCTAGAACTAGAAAGAGTATTATTTGGGAGAGATGAAAAAAAGTATTGTTTTACCCTTCAAAAACTGATTTAAGGAACTGAATCTAATGAAACACAGATCCTTAGAAAATAGTAAAATGCTAATATGTGTAAAATAAAAATTTCAATAAAGTTTTTAAAAAGGAAAAGTTCTGAGTGGACTAAAAGGAGGGCTTTGAAGGTGGCACACAGTGAGCTGGGTATATGGTTAAATGGACAGAATGGGTATACAGACAGATAAAGGAAAGGAGATTAGACTGGACAGCATGACTAAAGCAGCATGTCAGGGGGAATACACAGGCTGTGAAGAGGTTACAAGAGACAAAGATGAGACTATCCTGAAAGGAGAGCTACAGACTGGAGAATTAATCAGACTCAAGTTGTAACATTAGACGATAAGCCTGGGGCTTTGAAAATGAAGCAGATAACAAATGGAATACAGCTTGTAGGCAGCTATATAAAGGCATGAAAAGATCTCTATATATTGCCATGGAATGATCTTTAGGGTATATTGTTGGTTGAAGATAGAAAAATGCAGAAGAGTGTGTATAGTTTGCTCTTTTCTTTGTGTTGAGAAGTGGAGGAGATAATATATACACTGTGTGTGCATCTGTGTGTATATGTGTATGTGTGTACATGCACAGATTTGCTTTTCTCTCCAAAAGAAAAAAAAAGAAAATTAAGATTGTTACCTACAGGGAAAGGGAAGAATGAGGGGTGGGCATAGAGATAAAAGCTAGAAACTCTCAGAATGTGCTATGTTTCACAATTTTGATTTTGAAACCATGTAGATATTTTACATAATTAAAAACAAAAACAATTAAAAACTCAATGGAATCTCTAAAACAAAAAAAGGAGCTAACTATTCATTGCAGTTGGTGGCATAATGAAATAGAGAAAATTACTGCTTTTACAATAAAATATTTTCATTGTCCATCCACAGTGGCATCCTAAGAACAAAAAGAACCACAGAGAAATCTTAAATTGCATTCAGTGGGCTTGCGATAATGTTGCTCATCTTTACACACACAAACACACACACACACACACACACACACACACACACACACACATATGAGTATAAAGATAAAGCAAATAAATAATTATAATAAAGTCATCATGAATCATTTAAAATTGCCCACAAAACAAAACTTACGAATAAACCTAACAACGGAGGTGAAAGACATGTACTCTGAAAACTCTAAGACACTCATATGAGAGAAATTAAAGACACCAATAAATGGAAATCTATCCAATGCTCATGGATAGGAAGAATTAATATTGTCAAAATGGCCATCCTGCCCAAAGCAATTTACAGATTCAATGCAGTATCTATTAAAATACCAAAGGCATTTTTCAATGAACTACAGCAAACCACAAAAGACATGAATAGCCAAAGAAATCTTGAGAAAGAAAAACAGGTGGAGAGACAAGATGGCGGCATGAGTAGAGCAGCAGAAATCTGCTCCCAAAACCACATTTATCCATGAAAATATAACAAAGACAACTCTTCCTAAAATAGAGACTAGAGGACACAGGACAACAGACCACATCCACACCTGCAAGAACCCAGTGCCTCGAAAAGGGGGTAAGATACAAGCCCTGGCCCTATGGGTCCCGAGCGCCCCTCCCCCCAGCTCCCAGCGGGAAGAGAGAGATCTGAGCGGGAGGGAGAAGGAGCGCAGGACTGCTGAACACCCAGCCCCAGCCATCTGGACCAGAGCACAGACACAGTGCATGCGTAGGGTCCTGGATACTAGGGAAACAGGGCGACAGGACTGGTGAGCGGGTGCCTGAGGCCAACGCCGGAGGACAAAGAAACGGGAGCAGCCATTGTTTTTTCGGTTTCTGTTCCTCTTTTTTTTTTTTGGCGAGTGCTTTTTGGAAGTCTTAAAGGGACAGGGACCCCAATACTAGGGAAACAGGGAAGCAAGACCGGTGAGTGGGTGCCTGAGACCGGCACCTGAGGACAAAGAAAATCATGCTTTTTTCTTTTTTAAAAAAATATTTATTTATTTATGATTTATTTATTTATTTTGTTGTTGCTGTTGTTGTTTTGGTTTGGAGAGTGCTTTTTGGAAATATTAAAGGGGCAGGGCAGGACACTTAGTCCAGAGGCAAGGAATATCGGGTTCTCTGGACACTCTAACGCCCTGGGCAGCAGGGAGCACAGAGGCCGCTTGCAGAGATAAATGGCCTCCCAGCCACTCCCCCTCTAAAGGGGCTCCACCATTTTGGAGCAGCCGCCCAAGCCAGGTGACGCCCACAGCAACAGCAGACATAAACTCTATAGCAGCTGGGCAGGAAGCAGAAGCCCTGTCTGTGCACAGCTGCCCAGCACAAGCCACTAGAGGTCGCTATTCTCCCAGGAGAGGAAGGCCACAAACCAACAAGAAGGAAAGCTCTTCCAACTGTCACTCGTACCAGCTCTGCAAACTATCTCTATCACCATGAAAAGGCAAAACTACAGGCAGACAAAGATCACAGAGACAACACCTGAGAACGAGACAGACCTAACCAGTCTTCCTGAAAAAGAATTCAAAATAAAAATCATGAACATGCTGATGGAGATGCAGAGAAAAATGCAAGAGCACTGGGATGAAGTCCGGAGGGAGATCACAGATGCCAGGAAGGAAATCACAGAAGTGAAACAAACCCTGCAAGGATTTATAAGCAGAATGGATAAGATGCAATAGGCCATTGAAGGAATAGAAATCAGAGAACAGAAAGTATAGAAGCTGACATAGAGAGAGATAAAAGGATCTCCAGGAATGACACAATACTAAGAGAACTATGTGACCACTCCAAAAGGAACAATATCCATATTACAGGGGTACCAGAAGAAGAAGAGAGAGGAAAAGGGATAGAAACTGTCTTTGAAGAAATAATTGCTGAAAACTTCCCCAAACAGGGGGAGGAAATAATCGAACAGACCACAGAAATACACAGAACCCCCAACAGAAAGGATCCAAGGAAGACAACACCAAGACACATAATAATTAAAATGGCAAGTATCAAGGACAAGGAAAGAGCTTTAAAGTCAGCTAGAGAGAAATAGGTCACCTACAAAGGATAATTCATCAGGCTAACATCAGACTTCTCAAAAGAAACCCTATAGGCCAGAAGAGAATGCCATGATATATTTAATGCAATGAAACAGAAGGGCCTTGAACCAAGGATACTGTATCCAGCACGACAATCATTTAAATATGATGGCAGGATTAAACAATTCCCAGACAAGCAAAAGCTGAGGGAATTTCCTTCCCATAAACCACCTCTACAGGGCATCTTACAGGGATTGCTCTAGATGGGAGCACTCCTAAAAAGAGCACAGAACAAAACACCCAACATATGAAGAAGGGAGGAGGAGGAATAAAAAGGGAGAGAAACAAAGCATCTCCAGACAGTGTATATAACAGCTCAATAAGCGAGCTAAGTTAGGC